AAAAAAAAAAAAACCACAAGGAGGCTGGAAAGAGGGAGAGGAGATGTGCAGAAAGGAGAACTGAATGTGAGCATGGGGTTAGAAGTGTGAGGGAACGTCAAATCAAGAAAGCAAACGTACCATTAGTCGGATGCTTTGCAAACGACACAGAAAATCGTTTTACGGCTGGCATAGACAAGAGCTCTGAGGAAATAAAAACAGATCATCTCAGTTAACAGCCTGCTTCTAAGGACTCTCCTAACCTCCACGCGCTAGCAGCTCCACTTTCCCGCTCACCCTCTGCTTAACCCACGTAGCACATGTGCTCGTGGCGTTGCTGCTCCGTCTGCATGCCTGACTGATCCTCCTAAGCTCTGCACACACTGCCTGCTCCCCTAACACTGCCAACAGTCTCAGACGTGCATGCACAGACAGCAAACACACCCTACCCTCCCTCCTCACGCAGGGCCACGCAGGAGCACTTGGCCCCCAGGCTCAGTGTAACGGCAGATGCAATCAGGCCATAATTAGAGCCACAAGAGCACAAAGCCAAGCAACAGCACCATACGAATATAATTCTTGGGAATTCACTTCTGCCCAAAGAAAAACAAAACAGTATGTGAAGATCCTTAGGACAGCTAAGTGCAACTCAGAACATCCTCTTAATGTAAGCTAAACACAGCTATTTATAAATTAAAAAGCTAAGTCAGCTAACTATTTAGGGAACAAATTTAAGACCCAGGAAGACATCTCTACCTTCCTGCTGCTCAATGCATTGCAATATAGCAGCGGTTTGGGGATACACTTTTCAGGCTGCTCCTCAGGCTTGTGTTGGCCATGATTCAGGCCAGGCCAAACTCCCCAGAAAGACAGCACAAGGACAGACTCTGAGCATCTAATGGAGCACAAACAGATGAGTTTTAAAAGACAATGATTAGTCTCTATTTGCTACAAAAACAAGCCAAAAACTTCAGCTTATTCCCACTCTGGGAATTCCTCAGCTATCATGGAGAGAAATGGCCTAGATCAGACTATGTGCATCCAGGACTTTGTGCGAGGCCCCAGCCAAGCAGACCTTCCGCTGCTACTTCAAAATCAAGGATGTCTTTTTTTTTTCCTCATTCATATTTTCATGCATCCATTTTACCTAGTGAATCAAAGCTGTATGGCTATTTCTGTGTACCAAGAATAGGTGCTACACACATCGATTTATACACTGTCACACTCCCATAAAGTTTCCATAGCTACATTCACCAAAATATCACTGGCTTGCCTGTATAATATTTAAACCAATGCCCAAAGTTGCTTACCTTACCTGAGTAATGGTCATAAAAACTGATTTTCTCTGTTTAAACTCAACAAATACAGTATAGCAAGCTTCTATATATACATGCATCTTCCAAGCAGTGTCCAAGTCATCACCTTGCAGTCAAGTTCACTGATAAGCACCTCCATTCTACCCTGAATCTCTTTCCCACTTTTATCAGAGCACGAATTTGGACAGTGCTCAGACAAGCTACTGAGTCCTGGCTTCAGACAAACCAGCTTCAAAGAAACATCAGCAGTGGTGGATGTTCCCTCAATTTTAAGTTAAGACTCAATTCACTGGTGAATGCTTTCTTTGCCCTCTTCTAGACCCAAATAAAAAGACTTAAGAAATGAATATCATTTAACTTTACTGAGCAAATCTTTGACGCACACAGAAGAATTCATACAAAATGTGCTCCAGAATCGGAGGGTCTTTAAGCACTATGAGCCTGATGGCTACGGAAAAGACCTTGATACAGAAGCTGTCTGAGAGTGAAGTCTGCTACATCACTGCTTTAAACTCTAATGACTTTTGGCTTAAATGCTCATCATTTGCTACTCATTTAAGCAGGAACACTTGGATCAAATGCTGATTTTATATTCCAAATTATCTTCCCCAGAAATCAAGTGTTCTTCAGCCTCCTACTCATTTTCCCAAACCTCCAGCTTCCTCCTCACAATTGCTATGACTGCAGCAAGGCACTGGTWGCACATGGTGCAGCTGCACACTGAGAAACATGCAAAAACTAAGTGTAATACCAAGATGAATAATTCCAGGCTATGTAAGTCCCATGATATTTAAGCAAGTATCTTTTAAGTACTTGAGGCTAAAGCTGGGTCACAGCATGCAGGGACTGTGCTACAGAATTTAGGTCAAAACAGCATGATTCTGCTCCAAGTCTTGACTACAGGCAGCCAGTTATGGGCAGACTCCCACTGCACCACCTACGCAGAGAGGTGGCACAGCACCAGCACTGAGCGCAGTCAGCTCTGTTCCTAGCCATGTGCCACCCAGCTAGCTATCTCGGACAGTTTTCCTTGAGAATTAGTGCTGCTTTGGAGTCAGACTCTTGCAGGACTGCAGAAGAGAAGCAGTCAGAGCCTTAACTGGTCTTTCAAGCACCTCTCCTGGTATTCAGAGTCCCTACCTCGTTCCAAACACCATGAGCTGATTCTGGGACCTGTAAGTAGCCAGCACTTCCCGTCCTGAGCAACTCAGAACTGGTACAGCAATTCTAAATCCTTCCAGTTCATCTCTGTCACTCACAGCCTGTTACCTGCTACAGAGCTCCCTGAAGATGTGACAAGTAATACAATTGTCTCTTACACAGAGAATAAAATGATCTCAATAGAAGGGCATTTAATGAAGTCTCAACAGGTCTGAGAACTGAATAGCATCTTTTCATCCTGTTTTAAACCATTTTCAAAATTGCAGAGAAATCCCAAGGAAACAACCCAATTTTACTCAAAGGGCCCAGACTACTGCTCTATTCACCTTCCCCCATGAAATGCATTAGGGCAGGTGCTCCTTATGAACTTAGACATACAAGCACTAGGACTCCAACAAGGTATTTACATATCATTTATCGAAGGAGCTAACATAAGGAGAAAACAGATCATCTTAGACCCCAGATCAGATCAGATGCTGGTAAGCAGAACTATGCAGCATCAGACAAGTCTCCCCACAGATGGAGTCTGTGCAACATGCCATGCCCTGAATCAAGGTCCATCCAGTGCAGCACAGCTTATGGCTCCCAGCATCTGAAGGGACATATGATTATATACTCTTTTCTCCTTCCTCCGCTAGCTCCAGAAAATGGTATCTTAATCAATACCTTATAAAGACTGAGTGGTCTTCTCTCCAGGATAATAAGGAACACTTGCTTAGGTGCATTACAGCCTCACGGTTCCCTTGGAACACCTCAGTCTTCTCTATGCTCTGTGCTCCAACTTCCTTGTGGGTAGGGATAGACCCTGCTTGTTAATATATGCCACACTAGTCCTCAGCTGGTACTATCCCCTTCACTAATCAACATGGGGAAACACTGATACCAACAACCCAAGTACACTTTACCAGACTGGATGAATTTTAGGGCACTTTCTGCAGAACTAGCCACAGCAAGTAGACATTACAGTCCTTCTGCTATATTTCCTCCAAGCATCCTATTTAGGTCAAGCATACCAGGCATACATACTTGCTTTCTGGCTGCTATGCCAGGCTCTCGCACAGCATCGTCTAGTCTGGTTCTAGTACCTATATAACCCCTGCCTAGCACATCACTCTGCCAACAGTGCAGCCCCATCTCCTGCAGGGTGGGAATTACCGTCTCTACAAAGGCTTAGTTCAGCACAAATCACCAAGATAAGCAAGATGTGCTGGATTGCTGTACCGGGACAAACCTATGGAACACCTGTAATAACGATTCTTAGCCCACAACAGCAAATTGTATTGGAATATCTGACCAAAATCAGATACAAGCAATAACATACAACAGTATAAACTCCTCACACGGTGTCAGCTCCTGTCTTATCCTAGTAAGGATCTGATTGATGCAAAAGGATCATGATTTCTTGGGATAYGATAAAAATGCATTACCACAGATCTGATGAATACATCTTAAAGTATGTTACTCCTCTTAGCAGTCTAAGTCTTTGACTCAGTAGCATCCAGAGGCAAAGTCCACAAATGAACCATCTGCTGCAGGGAGAACACACATACCGTCTTTGTACGTCAGGCTGCTGGCAAACTTTTTGCCATGGCTGCGTGCGTAGTCCTGGAGGTTGGGGGCACTGGAGGAGCCTCCCAGCACAGTGGTGCTAAACAGCCCGGTGCACTGTGACCCTGGAAAGGCATGGAAGGTGTTAGTATCACATCTCCACTGCAGGCAACTACAGAACAGTAGGATTAGTGGTAGAACAAGATAAAACAAGCCCACACGGGAGACTGTCTCAGGAAAGAGATGATAGTAGAGGAGCGTGGGGTGGCAGTATTCCCCACTCTAAACTCAATAGTGGCAGATGCACAATAGGTAGCACAGTAGTCAGCTCAGAGAAATAAAGCCATCTCGGTCCTTTTATTCACCTACGTATTCACGTCACAAATGCCAGAGATGCTAAGTCACTGGGGTGCAAGTTGCAGGACATAATTTCTCTGCTCTTCTGTTCTTTCTTTTTGAAAACTTCTGTAGAGCAATGAGAAGGAGAAAGAGCTGCCTAGCTCCAACAAATTCAGTGTGGAGTCTGATAGTCAGCTAATGCAGACCAATTACTGTGCCTAAAGAAAAGGAAATGACTTTTTTCCACAGGTTGCTGCTCCGATATTTCTCACTCACTTGCTCTTTTACTGTTCCTGTGTAGGCCCACGCGTTCCATGAACTACCCTTACAAAAACCACCTGTTCACACAGCATTGAGCTTAGCTTGCCCTATAAGGAATATGGCAGGCAAAATGGTCTTAAACACAGGAGGGCAACCTAGAGCACAGGTCACCGCTTCTGCAAGCACTTGTCTGCTTTTCTCAGGTGCAGCAGTTCTTAGATAGGATGAGTTGAATTTATATAAAAGAACTGCTGGGTATATGAAACAAGTCTTTCAACCAAGCAAAGCAGCTATGAACAGGACGACAAAATCAACTGAGAGTGGCTGATTATACTGTTCTATATCAAGAATATGAATTGCTAAAAACAACATTATTTCCAACATAACAAGGCTGCCACACAGGTTGATTTTGCTTCACTTTGTCTACTCAGACAAAACAACTAACATAGAGCCTATTTGTATTTAACTAGAATAGTGAAATTGTTACTACTGTTAAAGAGAATCTGCCTATACTGCAAATATCTCTGTCTTCCAGAGATCGCAGAATGATTGAGGCTGGAAAGACCCCTGCAGGTCTCTCTCCCAACTCTCTCTCTACACACACAAACATGGGACCAATTTGGATGAGGCTGCTCAGGACTTTGTCCAGTCAAGGCTTAAACATCTCCAAGAATGGAGACTTTAAAATTTATCTTTGCTGCTGTTCCAATCCTTGGCTGAACTCACAGTGGAAGTTTTTATCCTTCTAGCTAATTGCATTTTCTGTGCTGCAACTTATCCGATGCTTCCCATCCTACCAATAGGTACCTTTGAGAAGAGCCTGTTTCTGCCTGCTCCGTGACTCCCCATGTAGGCGGCTGAAGACAGCACTCTGTTCTTAACGCTGAACAAACTCAATATCAGCTTCTCCTCACAGGCATGTGCTCTAGCCCACTTCCCACCTCCCTGCCCCTCGCTGGCCTTACGCCCATGTGAACATGTCCTGCTTGCAATGGTTATATATATATGTACGTGTTCAGCTTAAGCTGAAGGTATCTGTTCCTTTGAACAAAGGAGAACAACTCAAGGAACTGTCTCCCATGCACTCCACTGCTGGAAACACTGCTGGCAGCACTTTGCAGAGCACACTAGCACATAGGTGTTCTCAGCCAAACAGGCAGAGAAATACTGCCCACAAGGTGACTCATACATTTTTTTTTTTATCAGTCTGTGATTGATACAAAAATCAGTAGAAATTTTTCTACTAATGACTTAAAAGTGAAGCTCTGTGCAGTCTCAGGATAAATCAGAATCTATCAGATGGAGAAAAAAAAAAAAAAAGTCTAACAGCATTCAGCATGATACCCATAATGACAATGACACCTATGGCTTAAACAACAATAAATGCCCAAAACGTCATTTACTGGCAGACAAACCATGGATCAGAAGCTTTGCTTTCACTTGCTACCTTGAGCAACTTTGTGCCATTAATCATTAAGATAATGACACCCCAGTGATTATGTTCTTCTAGAGTGGACAGAGGTATTTTGTTAAAACCCTCAAACCTAAAGGGACTTTAAAGGGATGATTCTATGGCAGTTGCCTGGCATGAGCTGTAGAAAACTGCTGTAGCCAAAGTAAACAAACTGACATGCATGCTGAAGTACATAACAGGATACTAATCATTTGGATTTAAAAAAAAAAAAAAGAGTAAGTAAGAGTAAGTAGCAACATGGTAGAATTAACAACGTGTACTGGATTTTTTTACACTTAACTTTTAGAGCTTTAAAAATAAGCACCCCTAATTTCCCTACGAAATGAGGAGTCTTGCACAAACTCCCTGCCCCATTGACAATGCAACAGCTCTGTCACTCCAAAGTGACAAGACTCCAAAGCAGCAGAAACTTCTACTCCCCGTTTTGAAGTTTTCTTGAAGGCAAAAGAAGGCTCTGAAACATTCTTAGACTTCTTAAGGCAGATACACATATACTATTCCATGCAATACAAAACAATTCAAAGAATTTTGCACAGAAAAACATGTCATGCTCCAAAGCACAGCCAAAGCAAGCTGCAGCAGTCCCCTCCTTCCAGATATCTCAAGGCATTTTTTTTAACTGACATAAAGGTACAGTTCTAGCAGCTACAACAGCACTGTAATAGAAGCTCTGCCCTGACAGGCTTTGTCTTATGCCTAAGCAAAGGAGGCTGATCTGAAATGCTCCCCCACCGCAGACTCTGGCAAGGTCAGGCAGCAGGAGAGAAGACTCAGCTTCAGAAAAACTCAGAAGTAGCAAACATCAGCTGAATGAGCCTCCTTATAGCACAGCTCCTAGACAAACAGCTGAAGTTCAAACTCCTGAGAGTTCCTTATTCTTAAATCATAGAATCATAGAATGCGTAAGGTTGGAAGGGACCTCTACAGGTCATCTAGTCCAACCCCTCTGCACACACAGGGTTAGAGCCTGACTTCCACAGGTAAAGAAGCATCATTCTTTCCAGCAGTTCTCAAGCTAAGAGAAATTCACAGCCATCCTGATGGCTAACAATTGCACAGGCAGGTGCTGCAACACAGGTCTCTCCTTTTCAATCTTCTTGTGCCTGCAGCTGCAAGATTTTCTACAGCAGTTACTAATGACTGCATAGAGCATTCAGCTAAAATCTACTGTCACAGATCATATCTCCCTCTCCTCCTCTCTCATGTTTTGCCTGTGCATATCTTAGCTGATCAAATTGCAGGTTTTGTTATCAAGGAAAAGTAAGTTATATTGTACAAGGATCCAGTCATGTCTATAATCAAAAACACAAAAGAGGCTGCAACATCGAGGCTTTCCAGAGCAGATGCCTTCTGTTGCTCAGACACCCATCCGGAACGGTTTGCATGCAGTGTTTGATGTATTCAGCCACTCTCCAAGCAGATGCACTTCCTTGGCTACATACCACCTCGGAAATCCTCACATTGATTCACACAGATTCACAGAATAACCACAGGTTTCTTCAAGCAAAGCAGTTTATAACAGTTTCCTTAATATGCAAGTAGTCCAGGGAAGGCAGAAATAAGTAGACAATTTGAAATAGCACATACAAAGACCACCATGGCAAAGGATATTGTGCCTTTATGAAAACATGCATCAGCCATTACTTAGAATTTTTACAATGAGCTGGAGATATGGCTGTCAGATTTCAGACTCCAGGGATATTTAACTAGTTAGATACACTAACTATTAACCAAATAATATCCCACTAACTAGATTGAAAAAAAGAATCAGGCCTTTCAAAAATCCCTTGATTGCAGAATGTTCAAAAACAAAAGATAAAGAACTGATGAGTCAGGAGTGCTGACAGGAAATCTATGGCCATGGCTGGAAGCTAAAATGCAAGAATCACTTAAAAAATAAGAAAGTGGAAGTGGGTCTAACTTGTACATTTTCACTTCCTGGTGCTTACAAGTCACCTGCAAAGTCTAGGGTGCTTGGTTGTCTTCAGTCCCCACGAAAGCAGCAGACAGCTATTCAGCTCCAAAATAATCTAGCTTTTTCAAAAAGTTTTGGGGAAGAATTTCAACTACTAAGCCACAGTTTAGGTTAAGGTGGCAGCGACTAGTAACCACAAAGGTGGTAGAAAACATCAAGTGCTTAAAATATTCTCTTCCACATGCTATGAATGGCTCCCCAGGGAAGTCCAGCTCAGTTACACCAACCAGGCAAACACTGCTGCAGATGACACGTCTGTTCTGCACAAGGGCCCCTTCTGAATAAAGGATGGAAATATAACCTTATATGAACAGCAGCTTTGCATAGAAATCACTCTTCAAAAGAAGCAGCATGCTAATTCTCTTGTAAAATCATCTCTTCCTGTAATTTCAGAAATACTGTAACAAATGATTATGTCATAGAACCAGAAAGTCAATCTGCAGGAGGAGATTGTACACTTATAAATGTGTGATGGAGGGCATAATAAAGATGAAACCAGAATCTTTTTCAGTGGTACCCCATGACAGGATGAGAAGCAATGGCACAAACTGGAAAATAGAAAATTCCATTTGAATACAAAACACTTTCAAACTGATGGTGGTTGAACACTGGAACAGGTTGCCCCAAATTCTGAAGGTTCCATCCTTAGAGGTACTCAAAACCCAACTGGACACAATCCTGGGCAACCTGTTCTAGATGACATTGCTTGAGCAAAGGCGTTGGACTAGATGATCTCCAGAGGTCCTTTTCAACCTAGGTTATTCTGCTTCTATAATAGCCTCTACAGTAATCTAGGCAGTAACATTACAGGAGGATATAACACGCTCAGACACACAAGAAACTTGAGCCAGACACATGTGGAGAGACAGAAACATGCACACAAAACAGAAAGGTACAGGAGGACAGGCCGGGTACAGGTCAAGTGCAATACCTAAGCCACTTTGCTTCATCTCAGAGGACTGCCTGGAGTAGGTGCTGAAGAGGCGATAACCTCCCGATTTGGAAGACTCTGAAAGCACCTGCAATGAAAATTATTAAAATCACTACCCTGCCTTAAGGATTCCTAATCAATTTACTCATTGATCTCAAAAATAATATAAAAAATATAATTCAATTGAAGTGTCCTTGAATCACATTTTTTAAGAAGGGTAAAGCTCAGCTTGTGATAGTGCATGCTCAATTATTTTTAATTTCAGGTTTACATTGGTTGTGGAACAGTAGATTTCAGAAGTATGAAGGGATTTGTGTACTCAGCTCCTTGTCTCCCAGGACTCCTGCTAGGATCACTGCAACACACACTTCCTTCTTCAGAATCAGAAAAATATACTCTTTTTAACTTACTATGTGTCTGCTACAAATTGCTCCTGAGTCTGAGCGCTGCATACAAATTTATATCATCAATGACACATAGTCATTGAGCAAACCTCTCAAGCCCTAAAATTCTGTTTTTCACTGACTCAGAAAATATATATCAAAAATGCCTGTTAAACCTCCCCAGAATGAGAAGCAATTCCAGACTACCTTGAAGGTGTCAGCTGCCAGTTGACTACAAAGCTAGACTTATGGCACTGTGACAGACCTTGAGGAAAGAACTGAGGCTAGCTAACAAACAAAAAACAAAAACAAGCAAACTAAAAAATCCACAAATTTTTGTTGCTTTAGCAGATCAGTGAATGGGACAACTGCAGATCCTATGACAGTTTAAGTTCTCTGCAACTAGTCCCACTAAATCAGCACTGAAGCTCACTACCTCTGATATTCATGAGATCACAGATGGGAGACAGGAACAAGAATTGTGGAACTGAATTGTGAGATGCAAAAGCTGGAGTCCATGGGAAGACAAAGCTGCCATCACGGTTAGGTGAAGAGGTTGCATGCAATCCTGCAGTTGGTTAATGCCTTTTCAACAAGTGATCTGAATGTACTTGTGCCTCTCAAGCATTTACTTACTTGCTCTTCCAACAGCACTTCCTCCCCATTTGCTCTGTCCAGTGTTTCCTCTGTCTTTCCTCAATGAGAGGGAGTTTGATAGGTCAGCCTTTCAAAAATCCCTATTCAATACCTTTAGATCTTTTCATAGAATCAAATCTGACCCTGATATGCTAAGAGGAATCCCAGGAAACCAAAACTAGGCAAGGGACATTCATTAGAATAACTGAGAAGGCCCACTGTTATTACCTCCATGGATCCTGTTTTCCGGTTCCTGATCAGGGGGGATCGCCGCTGAATGCTGACTGGCTCGGAGGGCTGTGGAGACCGCTGCCGTGCCCGATCTGGCTCATTGATGCCCTTCTCCTTGGAGAGGTCTTCCAGGCTGCCTTGGTCTGCTTTCTTGTCCTCATTCTGCAGTATGGAAACATTGCCAGCAGACAAACAGCTATACTTCCACATGAACTGACCAAGCATTGTTCAGGGCATTCATTTGAGGCTTGGTTCTTCAAGTTCTACCAAGCTCAGTAAGATACCACCATTCTGCTTTATCATGTAGAGTCAAAGTCTGCCCAGAAAATGCCCTCAAAAGCTGGGAAAGGAACGAGGAACAAAAGTTCTTCGATGCATGAGAAAGGTCAGAGGAAGATTTGCTGCTGGAGACTAGACCATACCAGAAGTTGGCAGAATAGTAAAGCAGGTGAAGGTGCAACTACAATTAGTTAACAATATTCCATACAGACAAGGCAGCTTATGGCATTCATATTCAAGACATCACACTCACCTCAGAGGACGCAGGCCGAAAGCCAAACCCTGCAGGGACATTTCCACCTTCCTCGCAACCTTTCACGCCAGGGCTAAAATGCAGCTCTACATGAAAACGCTCCTCTGAAGATGGGTCCTGTGAACATAAGGGAAAGGGAATAAATAAACAATCAATTCCACTGTCAGCACAGGCTATGATCTGAACCTAGGCCACCCTGCCATGCCAGTGCAGCACGCATCCCAAGCACATCCTTTTGGAAAGAAAGCGGAAGCAACAAGGAACCAACCACAAGCAAACTGGCTTTGGGTTTGTCTCATCCAAAAGGACAGTCCCTATTAGCGCAGAGCTGAGGCATTCAGATTGTTGTTATTCTGTGACAACAGCCACCAGAGGACCAAAGCAGGATCAGGCTATAAGTATGTGTGTGTGTATATACAAATCAAAAAATACTATTTATTTTTATGCACTCACTTAAAACATAGGCTCTTTTTATCCCCCTGCAGCAAAATAACAACATTTGGGGGCAGGAAGAGATTTGGTTCCTTCCTTCCTATGCCATTAGTTTTATAGATCCCGGTTGTCTTAAGTAACCATCTTCAATATTAAAATAATAGTAATTGAACATTCTTTTTACACAGAATCACAGAACGGTTAAGGTTGGAAGGGACTTCTAGAGATCATCTAGTCCTACCCCCGTGCTCCGGCAGGGACACCCAGAGCATGTGGCACCGGGTGGCATCCAGGCAGGTTTTGAAGACTTCCAGAGACAGAGACTCCGCAACCTCCCTGGGTAGCCTGTTCCAGGGCTCTGTCACCCTCACAGTGAAGAAATTTCTATCTCCTCACATGGAGATGGAACTGCCTGTGTTGCAGCTTTCAGCCATTACCCCTTGTCCTGTCACTGGCCACCACTGAGAAGAGCTTGGCCCCTTCCTCCCTACATTCTCCCTTCACGAACTTACCCATGTTAATCAGATCCCCTCTCAGCCTCCTCGAGGGCTTTTATAGTTTCTGTCACTAATTATGCAAAACCAAAAATTTCATTGTTTCTATTTGTTAACTATTTGGTTGCACTATTACTACTAAACTCTAAATTCTAATTCTACAGCTCATGGAGCAAAAGCAGTGCTCCACTACAACCTCCTGCAGCACAGGTCCTTAAACTTTATCTAGCAGCTCTGCATTGAACCTATCCATGGTCATTACTATCAGTTTCCACATTCTAGCTGTTTCAAAATTACTATTTCCTAAATACATCAATATATAATTCGCTAAATATATCAGTGTATTTTTAAACTAAAAAGCCTTTTTTGAATGCGGAATACCTTGACAATTTCTAGAAGCATCCTGAAGCAGCTGCCAAATGTAATTTGTTTTAATTTATTTTCAAAATGTTTATTTTATTTCATATTATGAAATAATAAATGGTATTACTTTTGGAGAGGCTTTAAAATAGGTAGTGCTAGTTACACAAGTTCGGTATTGCTGCTCATGATGGTATTCTGTTTACACATAATAGATATTAACTGGGTCACATCTCCCATATAAAATAAAAAGCTAACAGTTTTGTAAGCAGTTTGTACATCTTTATTCACAAATTGAGACAGCTCAGGTCAAACTTCCCAGCTGAGCTCATCTCTTGGGGACTGCACATCACAGCAGGCATGATTTTACCCTACAGCTAAATCCCTCACCTTGTTGTTGTCCTCGTAGAGCATGATAACAATCTGGGTCATGTAGTTCAGCTCTGAGATAGCACTCAAGTAGTCCATGGCTCTCTTCCACTGCTGGTCTTTGTTCTCCTGATACATACACATAAACAGTCGCATGGAGTAAGCAACAGCAGACACCTTGCAGCATTCAGTGAAATGGGTCTGAGAGGCATTGCCTCTCCACAGCAACAACATTGTCAGGACAGAAACATCTTGCTTAACTTGCATGAAGAGAAATGACCTTGCAATGAGGGCAGGTGCTTAAAGCGAGGAGCAGTTGCATAGAGGGACACTGCAGCTATCCATACTTGCAGATCTGGGCACATCCAGCTGCAAGCCCCCTGTGCCATGCTGACTGGAAGAAAGCATAATCACAGCAGGTTCCCCAAAACAGTCATTCTCAGATTATGGTCTACAGAATGGTGTGTTTTAAAGAAATCACAGGAATGCACAAGGGATGAACTGGAAAAAAAGGGACCGAGTGATTTACAGGAGGATGAAGTAAAAGGCTGCAGGGTCATGCAAGACCCTTGAGCCACATGAGGCAGGCCAGCACATGTCTAACTGCTTCCCAAGATTGCTAGGGAATGGCCATACCCCAAAGGCCCTTCACACTGCTGGGGAACATCCCACCATCTTGATGGATGTGAAACCCCAGGGGTACAAACCAACCCAGGCACAGCCTAATATCCCTGTGTTGACATCACAGATTCTTCTAATACTAGAACGAACAGCAACTTATTCAGTAAGCAAGTAATTAAAAGGCAGTTGCGTGATCACAGCTTGCAGACAGTGAGCTTACACAGACACTAGAAGCCATGTCTGCTAAATAAGACCTAACTCTCAAGGCATTTTGGAACACCATGTTTCACAATGGGCYGGCAAACCGAAAGATCTACTGAGGTGCATAACACAGAGCTTCTCTCAGGGCCTGCCATCAATTCCTTCAGGAAACAGGTGAGAGCAGATCTCATTTGCCTGGTGAAGAGCTTAGATTAGAAAAGTCATAGTCTGTTAAAACTGGGCCACCTGTCTCTGTTGATAAGCACTCACTCTACGCTTTGCAACCCTAGTGCACTACTTCTGAAAGCAAACTGATTTTCTTGACAGGAGTCACTAAATAACAGGGCCACAGCCTTTAAATAAACAGATGGAGGTAGGAAGAGAGAAATTCCCTCAGTCTCTGCTGCCTCACGCTGGTACCTTCCTACATGTAAGTGACCTAGACTCTTCCAAAATCAGCAGGGCAGCTCTTGCAGAAAACATGCCTCCATACAAGCACAGCACACGGTATCAGGAGCAAGGAAGAACTATCCTCCTACATGGCAGTAAGGCAGCAAGCTGCAGCATGCAAACAGTGGAGAGACGGAGCCTGGCCAGAGACCACCCATACGCATCACTATCAGGAGAGCTGGCTGGAGGGACAACCTAGACACACTGTCCATCCTGGAAAGGGCCACCGAAAAGAAAGGAAGGAGGCTTACTCTGGGAGCACTGTTGGGACACTTACATCCAGGAGCCCTCCATAGCGGAAGATACTGAGCAGGGARTGCACATGGCTCTCACTGGTGAAGTAGAGCCGTGTCCGAACATGGCGACCCGGGGACAAAACTCCTCTGGAGTACCTAAACCAAATCAGCTCCATGTTATTCACAATCTGTCAATGAACTATCATCTATCACACAGGAGCTTATCTGCATGCTTAACAGCATTAAATTATCACACAACAGTAACTATCAAAGAGCAGCAGGAGCAAAACAAACTGAGTGAGCATTAGGCTCATTCAGTTCTGTGATATCCTAACAAAGGCATATGGTGTGACAGAGGTAGCCTCACCACACTTGCATCTGCTTCTCCTTGCAGGGACAGGACTGAGTGCATCACCACCCAGTTACAATGGATTTAAACCTCTGTGTCAGCTTGGCTTCCACTCAGCAGCCTCCTTGCACCTTCCCACTTCTTTTCCAGCTCTAGGAGCACCAACATGCCCTCCTTTGTGCGTGTCGCTGTGTGTATGTTTAGCGCCTCCCCCCAAGCCAGTACAGTTTTCTGGCATGGTTCTCCCCACATCACTCCAAGTCTGCCCTCCCAGTGCCTCCAGAAGCAGCATGCAATATTATCCTTACAAGGGATGCAGTTTGTTAACAGATTCATCTTCATGCGTTCGCTGCAAGTCCAATTGTATCTTTTTAATGAGAGGAAGACAAAAACCAATAGCAATTTCCAGCTTCTCCTCCTTATTAATCCCATACTCCTGCAGAAACAAAACAATAAACATTCTTTAGCCTTGGTTCTTTGCCACATCATTAAATAAAATAAGGTTGTTTGCCTGCACCCAGGCTTTCGAGAGCCTCTGCATGTTCACAATGACATAACAGCAGTGACTGTGGACTTCCAGGCCTGTCCACGAGACTCACTRCAACTATGCAAGGCCAATATGGGAAGTGCCATTTAGTACCTTTCTCCAATTGTTTCACATATTGAGGAGGATAAGAGAGGACAGAAACACTTTCAAAAAGCGTCTAGACTGAATTGTCAGCAGAGTTCCAACAGTTACAACGTGCAAAATGCCGTCAGGGAACATTGTCTCATGACAAGCACTTAGATCCAAATCTGGCACATGCATCAGCATAGTATCTATTATTTGCAAAGATAAAACTTGAAATGGCCAAATTGCATCTCAGACAGAAGAGAATGAAAATGCTTAGAAGAGCATCCCTGACCCTAAGTGCACTTGGATCCTGCTAATAAGAGCTTATGTCATGCATATGAAGCTTTATGAAGTTCTGTCCCTACTTCTGCAACAGAATAATTTGAATATAGAGATTTGTTGCATGTAGACATCCTAAACTTGGTGAGAACCCAACTTTGCAAGCTAAACTAGTTCTAGTTTCACAAGGGCATTAGATCTGCTAGAACAAGCCCTCCCTCTAAAGCAGAAATATTTATTTCCATATATAATCTCCTATGAAGAAAATTTCGCTACAGTGCACAAACTCAGCTTGAACATGTCTAGTAAAGCACTATGATGAATGTGGAAAAGCTGCTGCATTCATTACCCTGAAGCTATCAAAATCCTCATCCAGGAAATAAAACATCTTAAGGAGAGAGTCACCATAATTCACCTGAAGCAAGCTTGCATCATGAGGACCTGATCCCTGGTATCAACCTCTGATCTTCCCCCCTTTTGGTGGATGTCATAAATAGTTTGGGGTCATACAAACAAGCAGAGTTATCTGAGAAATATCTGCCATTAACTGTCTTGACAGTTCATGTGCATGAGAGACTGACTCTTTCCTGTCTGTTTTCTCTTGAAAACGGCAGCACAGACATCACGACCCAGTCAGGCAGGACAGGCTGTACCTGGGGTATGATCACATCTGCCAGGGCTTTGGAGAGTTTGAAGAGCTCTGCTGTGCCTTCCAGTTTCAGGGCACAGTTGTGCTGCACATCATACTTGATGCAGTCATAGATATCAGGGATCTTGCTGATGTCGTAACGCCCATTCTTCATGCGGAAATCTCTCTCCAGCTTACTCCAGCGTTGCAGCATCAGTTCTAAAGTCTCACTGTGATACAGCTGCAGGTCTAAACAACAGCGAACACAATCACATTCACGTCCCGACTATGTGCCCTTCAGCTGACCCAATAGCTGCTATGACTGACTCTAGCAAAGATGGAGGGTAATAGGTCATGGGACCTATTGCATTATGTTTTAAACTGCAGTCCTAAATTAATTCTGAAATATTTCAGAAAAGTGAAGCTGCTTGAATTTTTTTGCCAATGTCCACTATGAGATGTATGAATATCCCACAACTACCTTTTTAAAGATTGCTCTGTCATTAATACAGTTCTTAGAAGTCAACAAGATTGAAAAACCTACCAATTTTAGCACTGAGTCTCACTCCAAGAAATGCCTAAACAAGGGCAGGTATAACCCTCCAGGCTACACTGATGTTGTCTACATTCACTTTAATCCTCATGATGCCCCTTAATTCCTTTATATTATAGTTCTCTTGAACACTATTTGAAAGCAAAATAGGAGCTTCTACATCAGTAACATACACCTAATTTCACTCTAGAATTTCTTTGCAGAAAACACATAGCTCATTCATAAATCCTAGTGGTATGTGAAAGAAAAACACTCATATAATAAAAAGTGATTCTGCTCCAGGCCTTTTCCAGCTCTGACATTTACCTGCAGATTTGGGATCTTCCAGACGTTTTTGTATCTGGGAAGTGAGACTCTGGATCAGGGTAAATACCTGGTTACAGATCTCAACCGGGTTCTGGATAAACGTCATGGAGTTGAGCAGAGAAGCACTGCCAGTAGGTGCTAGCTGAGAGAAAATACCAGAACACATCAGTTGGTATCTTTGCAGACTGGGAGAACAAAGTATCTGCCTCTTTCAGCTGGCTTAGCCCAGAACCATTTCCCACCTTGCAGAGAGGCAAGGGACCTGTTTTCTCCCGTTAAACAGGGGAGAAGCAACATCTTCTCATTAGCTACTCAGCTGACTCTGTTGCTCTTTGTAGCATCACTGCCCTCCTAAATATAGTCTCCATTCTGTGCACTGGACCTGCACATACTTCATCCCTGTAGTTACACGCAAGGGTGTACATAAAATGTCATTCAATTGTACCTAGTTTATTGCAAGACCCCCTGTTTTGTGGAATGCTTTCTTATTTTCCTGTCTCTCCAGTAGTCTATGTTGGCTACTCTTTCCTATGCCACCACTACAGAAAACAGATTCCTGTAGAGGCCTCATTAAAAATCTACATAGAACAAGTATTATTTATTACAATTTCTAACTCATATGAGAATACTATAAAACAGTATATTAGAGGCGCCAATACTTTCACAACAGCTTGGAGCTTTCTTCTAATATAGCCTAGAGTGATTCTGCATAGTGGAAATCTTCAAAACAAACTCTCAAATGTCAACCAATTACATTTGTTTATAATACATTAATCAGACTTGTCAAATCAATTTTCTATTAACATATTCACAAAAATAAAAAGCACTGGTACTTCTAAAGAGCAAAGAAGACATCATACTCACTCTTGCAGAGACCAGGGGAGTAACACTGGGGATCTCACTAGAAGGGCAGGGATTATTACCCTGCAAAAAACTTCCCTTTTTCCACAGCTCTGTTTATATCGTAAACGTTGACCAGAACTGACCTCAGATTGACCAAACTACTGTTCACATGCTAGCAGGTGGTTCTGCATCTTAAACCATTGCAGCAATGCTATTTGTATCCCAAAGAGATCCAAGGTCACGTAGTTGCTTTACCTTTTCATAATCCTCTTCACAGAACTGAGCATCCTTCTGCATGATTTCACGCAGCCGTGCCTTCACTCTGTGTTGACAACTGCTAAGGGAATCACTGTCACTATCCAGGAGACCATTCATATTGGCACTTTTCACCATTTGCACCAGAATCGGGGTCAGCTCTCCTTCCAGGGCTAGCAGACCCTAAAATAGCACACAACAGAATTTCAGGTATGTGCAATGCAAGCAACAAACTCTTCTGCAAGTTTCACAGCCAGCTTTCAGGCTTGGCCTTTCACTTGAGTGAAATCCCAACTGCTCTTGAAGGGTAGCTTACAGCAAGAACACTTGGTCAGCATGAGTCTCACATGCTCCTAGAACTACTCTAAACCAAACAACAGGTTTGTCTGCAGCAGCCCCAGCTTTATTCAGCCATCTCTGTACAGACAACTTAGCTTGCTAGAAAACACTGACACATTAGAGGCTCTGAAGAACAGCAAGCAAGGTCACTAAAGGATTCTCCTTGGCTCAAGCTTTAACTGCAAACAAACCCCTCCTTCCACTGCTCACACGATGCTGCAGACGTTTAATTCCCTTTTTACATCCAAATCCAGAGAATAACCCCTTAAGTTGAACTGTCACCAAAGATGTTCTTATTGTGTAGAAACTGAGTACTTATTAATATAAATTATGCTGCAACAAACACCCAAGCAATACTCCATAAATAACTTATTCACCTATCAGATTCCTATACTGGGCATAATCCCAAGGGTGACATGTATACAGCGCTACAATACTCTGCTCTATAGCAAACCGCCCCACCATGCCACCGCAGAGGAGAAAACTCTTAGATCAGTTCATTCATCACTGGAAATCTTCCTTTAGAACCAGCATATTTTAAGCTTTATATAACAGAACCAGGAGATGCCCAAAAGAGAGGAAGGACCTTTGCGAAAGCTGCTGCTGTCATCTGAACTCGTCCCTCATCAGAAGCATAGATCTTGAGATCATGACGGTAGGTGCTGTGCAGCCTAAGCAGGCCACATCCAGGGAAACCAGCATAATCACCTATAAGAGAAAACATTACAAGTCTTCTGACACCTGCAAAACAACCAGAAAACCCCATTCCTTTGGAAAACAAATCTTCCTGTAGTATCAAAGCCATATCACTTTCATAATCAGCCTTTAGGCTGCTTCAAGAGAGATGGTTCTAGCTAATACATTAAGGTTGAAACTCAGTAAAGTTAGGAAAGTTTATTTCTGAAAAGAGCCCAAATCCACCAGTCAAGGTCTGATGCTACCTAAATTCTGCAAGAACTCTCTCCCAACAGGCAATAACTATTCTGCTAGCTTGAACCTGCTTGTGAGAATAAGGCTGCCATTAAGCACTCTTTCCTTCTTCTCGTTCTCTGGGCAAAAGCAGGTGTGCTGCCATCAGACCTGTACTCACAGTCGTTCAGTAGGAGTCTGGTATCCAAAACAGACCCCCAATAGAGCTGCAGTTATCTTATGGCATGGAATATTCTTTTGTTTGTGACTGTCAAGTTAACCAGAATACAGAACAGTAATGGGAGAAGACAACTCACACAGCTTTGAGTCTGGCCTTCCAAAGACAGAACAGCAGTGACTAATTTGTTACTGCCTGGGATCCCATGATGAGCTTGCAYAGTAGCCAGCCACAGTGCATAGGCATATGGAATAACAGCTCCCAGCACTCAGCTCAGCTCCAAGAAACGTGAAGGAGAACAGGCAGAAGTCAGCTGTACATCTGACAAAGCAGCCCCGTACCAGCTACTATCCAGGAACTGTAATGCAGCTTGTCATTGTAAAGTAAGATCCCTCCCTCTGCATGAAGGACTGACTGCCTGATGAAATAATAATAATAATAATAAACCCTTCAAATCCACGGTACAAGTGGCCTTCAGTCCCTCTGAATATGCTCCATCCTAGCCCTTCTGTAGGCAAGAGTGCAGCACCTCAGTGCTCAGTGGACATGGAACAGTGTTCAGAATTGCCATAGGCAGCATGTCAGGGCCCAGCAGTAACAGCACTACGCTTCACCAGGCTTCACCACAGCTCTGCAGATAGGTCTCTTGCTGATCTATATGCATTCTAGATGCTTTACACAGTCAGTCACATAATCATGGGAGAGAAAATATAAAGATGTTCTCTCCATTCCCCTATCTCACGACAGAACTATCTCTGTTCCAAGACGATTTCTACTGTTCTCTACATCTGACCTAAATTCCTTGCTAATCAATATGTAACTTTTGCATTTGGCTGCATGAAAAAATGCCATTTTCTTAGATGGCTCCTCTATTTATCATACTGGAACATTAGTTGAAAGAATGCTATTACGTTTCAAGACATGCTAATGCTTAACCTCAGCAGATTCAGACATCTAGCAAGCTTAGGGCTTTTTAAGTGTAAAGTCCACTTTAAATATTTGTCAGTTTTGTTCAAAAGAACAGAATGAGCCCCRGGTTACACAGGTTGCAAACAGTCCACAGGAAGTCTGAACATCCCTGTATGTGCTGGTGACTAGTCAACTCGGCTGGGCATTCTGGTGCAGTCACACATGGGATGCCTTCAAAGAGCTTACCTTGGCCACCAGGGTACATACAGCGGAAGGCTCGCCCCAGTTCTTCTGCTTGGACCCTTCCTGCTGGTGTCAGTTCTCCACCCCACTTCAGCACGAGGAGAAGAGATGGGGAAGACTCTCTGCGGGCTTCTAGGAGGCAAAACGTACTCACTATGGCAGATCTCAAAAGAAGAGCTTCGGGGAGGTCCACGGGTGGGCAAACCATCAGAGCACTTGCAGGGCATTCTCAATGCTAGCCTACAGGAACCAAATCTGGCCTTTTCTGTGGCTTCAGCAAGTACCAAAATAAGAGTCTATACTGTAAAGCTGTAGGAGCTCTATCTGTATTCACAAGCTGACATTCATGAAATCAGAAGCATAAACCTTGTGGCACCAACTAAAATGTATTAGCACATTAGTACACTGTGTATCTCTCTAGCCTTTCCTATGGTAGTAAAGACATGGGTCAATAATTCTCCTTTCATCTCCGGAGGTCTGTGTAGGTGGGATACTTGCATACTCCTGAACAGTAGGCTTTAACAACATGAGAGCAACATAAAGTTTCTTTACCTTCATCTTCACTTGTAGCTTTTGGATGTCCATGGGGCAGATAGGTCAACTGCACCTTACGGTTAATGCCAGAAAAATGTCCGTACCTGTCATAAGGCAGGAGGTGAGGGAAAGGACAAAATCAAATTAATTCCACTCATCCCTTCCCAGATCTCACAACAACAAAACAGAAATACAGGCACTGACTTCCTCCAGCAGCACCACTGCCAAGGGACATAAACTTGACCCACATAAGCATCCGTGAGGCAACGCAACATACAAAAAAATCAAAATTAAATTAAAAAGTCCAGTCTTCTCCTCCCCCAACAATTCAGACTCATTTACTTGCCTGCTCTGTTCAGTTGACATCATTGTGTCCAGTCACATCCTAGAGGGGCTTTAATCAAGCTGATAATTTCTATCTACATCTTTAACAAAGGAATTAATTAAGTTACAATAAAAGAAATCTACCAGCCATATGAACACAAATACACCTCCACTTCTAATCAGAAGAAAGAGCAGGATAAGGAATCATGGCAAAAAATCATCTTCTGTGCTCCACATAATGAACATAGACACTGCTTGAGTGCCACAGTGAACTATGGCTCTGAGAAACTCTCCTTTTGTTTCTAATGTGCCAACACCACCATATTAGCTTTTATTTTGGCTGTATGAAACTTAAGTAGACACAAACATTCTTTTCATTTTCTCACAGTGCCTTTTGTTAGAATTTTGGCACCAGAACAACCTCACATAAAACCAGATTCGTTCTAAGTTTATCAAAATCTATCCATGCAGTCCCCACAGGTTTCCCATTCCTGCAACCATGGATGTTCAGCTTCATCTTGAGTTGTCTTAGGGAAAAAAAAAAAAAAAAAAACAGATCAAAAGACCTCTGGAACAAGAACTGCCGTTCATTTTGAAGCCAAGGAAAACAAGTTAGCAGTATGGCATCTTTCATGTATAGCTGCTAAAAGGCGTTGCAGGAGTCTGACCTCTAGGAAATCAGCTGGCCAAGATGACAACAGCAAGTTTGCTTCTGCACCACTTCCTTTCCCTGTATCTTTCTCATTATCTCTTGCAGACCCACAGCCTTGAGACAAATCTGTGCTGTCCCAAGACAATAACTCTTACATCTCCAAGACGCTCTTCAGCTGTTCCAGTTTGGATTTCCTCTCCTCAATTTCACAGTTGCTCTGTGTTCCCAGTTCCACCACAAGCTGTCGTGCAATGTCCAGCACTTCCTGTTGGAAAGCAGACGGTCTCAAGCGCCCAGCAAATCTGCTTCAGACTCACTACTGTACTCTTGCAGGGTCTCCAGAAGGCTCCACCCAGCACCAGGTCTACATACTCATTAAGGACACTATTTCATAAGATATAGCTCAAGACCACAAACTTTCACATTCCAGCTTTCTAGTCTGTATTCCAGCCCTGTTCAGAACCAAACAGATGCCTCAAGCTTCCCCCAGTGCACAGCTTGGGGCATTCTCTCACCAGAGGCTGCTGCACCAGCCAGAACTGACCTCGTTCTGGGCTCTTTGTCTTAGCCAGGAGCAGTCTCCACCATGTTCTTGTACTGCTCCCTGCTGCACACACAGCAGGTAGGCAATGATCCAGGGAATTTATGCAATGGACTGTTGCTCCTTCAAAGGTTTTCACCCCCTCCCTGGCCCCCAAAGAATTCCCTTGCATTGGGATCTGTTTTACCTGCAGCTCCCACAGAGTAACCCCAGAGAGAGCTCCCCTTACCTGCAGCTGCTCTGGTTTCTTCAGCTTCAACTTTCCTGTCTTGTATCCATCGTATTTCTCAAATAATTCAAAGAACCTGAACAGACAACAAAGAATCCTGATCCAGTCTCTGCTGTTCCAGTGCTACATGGATTGTTACCCCTATGTATGCATCCATGTTCTGTTCTACAAGGAGAACCAGTAGGCCCACAGACTCCTCCCTATGCTTGAGAACCACCATCCCCCCAAAAAACAAATGATTTCAGCCTCAGGTAAGAAAAGGAAGCAGCCACTAGCTCCCCTTTGGTGAGGCACTTCACTTTGCAGCACCTAACAAACCTTTGCTCTTTCTTCCAGCATTTGTATAGAAGGTGCCAGGATCTCTATGGGGAAAGAAGGTGCCTTCAACGAAGCAGAAAACATTTCCCAAATGCAACCATGGAAAAACTCTGCCTCCCACATATGCATCCCTTCTGCTCTGCTTGTGGATTCAGCAGGTGGGCCCTCCTCACTTTCCATCAACACAGTGTCTTCTCGCCTTAGGACTTACCGCGGATGCTTAACTTCCATCTTCATCTTCTGCTTTGGGGTTCGATCTCCATGTCGGATGACTGCAATAACACAACGAAGTTCCATCCTGGAATAACAAAATACACCTCAAGTTTATCCTTAAGCACTAGAATTACCACCAGAAACTAGCTGTTGCTTCCCTTAACAAGGAAGAAATCCTTCATTCCCAAAACAAAGAATTCCCGAAAGCCGTGAACAATTTCTGTTAATTCCCTCAAAAGATGCTCCTCTGCATTCATCACTCCTACAACTCATTCACCATCTATTGCCCATTCCTTGAGGACAACTGGGCCTTTCCATGGATATCTCTCTTCCATGTCTCAACCAACACAGATGCTACATGATGCATGTCTCCTGGACATGGCTTGCACTTTGCCTCTCGTGTACTTATCAAAGGGATCCATTTGAGAAATTCCCAAGTACTCACATGGTGCCTGAAGTTGTGGGGACAATCGGAATATCTTCTGCCTCTGTTGGGATGGACCAAGGAATATGAAACTGTGGAGCTAATTCACGCATGATTATGTTTCTGAAACAGAAGAAATCAGAGCACAGAGTTCACAAGAAATACTATTCTCCCAGTTGTCCTTCCCCTTCCCTATAGTTCAGGTGAAAGGTTTGAGAATCACAGACAGTTTCTCCTCACCTTTCTTGCAGAGACATCTAATACACCATGGGCTAGTTAGGGCACCCAAAAGAGAGACACTTGGCACTCACATCACCAATCCCACTGCCTGGCCTAGCATCCATAGCCAATCCCAATGCAGGTATGAATTCTGAGGGCAGGAATAACTAACCTCTTCCTGCCAAAGCCAGGCCTCCCCCTGCTGAACAAACATCCCCATCTGAACCACGTGCTGACTTCTCCCACACATCCTGGTCAGGACTCCAAATTCACTATATTTTGTTTCAGATTCCTTTACTCACTACCAAAACTTAAATTTTACATACCCAAGAATTTTGGCACAGTCATCATAGTACTTCATAGAGTTCTTCACAAAACTGAAGCCATTCACATCACAAACGAACGAGTGACCATTTGCTCGCAAGAGGTCAAACCCACATACAGTTTGCTGCATGAGGAAACAGAGGACACAGGGCTCGTAAGCAACCGTGAGGAAGCACAGCGAGCAGGACAGCAGATGCCTGAGTCAAACACGGCTGACAGGGCACTGTCACACAGACCCCCCTCCACTGTCCAATTCGGCTCCACTGGTGTCTCCAAAGGCAGATGCTGCAGTAGTTGCTGCAGTGACACCCTGCTGCTGTGTCACCAATTCTGAAGTAGTTACCAGCAGCAGGCCCTTTAATGGAATATTTACACCATCACAGGTCTATCAAGGGCCCAATATATGAATTCCTGTATTCTGCAAGCTAATGTTACCTCAAAGAGCAATAAGGGTATAAGAAAGGAGCTCCTGCCTCTATATTCAGCTAACATGAATCAGACCGCAGAAGTACAGAAATCAAGCAGTGCATGCACAGACATCCACCAATGCATGAAAAAGGCTGTAATGCAGATTATACCCACAGCTGTACCGCAACAACTACACGGGATGCAGATTGCAGTGGGGCCAGGAACAAGTAGCCAAATGCTGCTTCTGTTGACATTACCGATGAAGCAGAGCAGATCCTGCAATTGCACCAAGACTCACACGCACACTGACTCCACCTACCTATAAGCAAAACACAAATGCAGACCAAAGCCAAGGAAGGAGAGAATGAAGGTGGCCAAGAAAAGGCCAACCAGGCTATGTGCACAAAAATGAAACAGCGAAGGAGGGATCAGTGCTGATCAGATGGACAGCAGCATGCTTAGAATCGGCCATCAAACGCTCAGATGCAAGCTGGCCACCAGCCACAGCATCTGCCCTAGGCCCTCCGGCCTTCCCAGGCACCTCTGACCAGCAAACTGCTGGGGCCAGCAGGGCCAGCTGCACCCAGCAGCAGAGAGAGCTGGCACCAGGCACAGAGCAGTCACATTGCAGACACATAAGGGCAACAGACTGAAGCTAATACAGGTGCCTGAGTGCCGACGCAGACATCCCCACGAGAATTGTGCTTGCATAGAAGAGGAAACACACAAACCTTAAAGGCTACACAGACTTTCCTGGCAACTAACTTCTCCATGGCAGTCAGCATGACTGGATAACGGATTTCTTTCCCTTCACTGTCTCGTTCAACCTTCCCATCCAAAGCAGGGGATTTGCGAGCCTCTGCATGGGCATAGTCTGGCCCAACAGTGTAAACCTGAGAAAAGAAATAGTCACACCTGATATAACCTCTAGACTAACTGCAGCCTCCAGAAAGAATTTCTATTGCAGGCACACACAGGAAAAACAAATGAAAAAAAAAAAAAAAAGGCAACAAAAGAAAAAACATTAGAAGCTCTCATACATTCTTCTTATTAGGACCTGCAGAGTGTTACTTCCACTTTGCAATGTGAGCTGCACAATCAGAAACTCCCAAGTTAAAAAAAAAAAAAGGTAAAAGAGATTCAGATTCTGCAGTGTAAAGTAGGACTACCTAAATTCCAGCTGCCCAGGTTTTCCGTACCTTTACATCTGTGCCATCTGTAGGCATGAATTCTTCATAAATGTATGAGCCTGTCTTCCTTACACTGCTCTCTGGGGAGTACACGCTACTCCGGCTGCCAATCTGAAAGCACAGAAAAAAAACAAACAGACGACAGCTGTTTTTTTTCAGAGAGAAGAACAAATAGCGTAAATTTAATTCCAAACTTAAAGAACTAACATCTGCAAGACCCCTAACTATTATAGTAGCACAATAACTAATGAATGACAGAAAAGACTCCAAACTGCAAACGCCAAACATATCCTTTTCCAGGCTTTAAAGAGGAAAATGTTACTGTAGACCAGTAGATGAACTCCAATCACAAAGACATAGAAGATAAGGAGCTTTGTTAATAAGCAAATTATAACAAGCTATTACAAATCATAGATTTTTAAGGCAATGCAACAGACCTTATAGACAGGTGCTAATATTGTTTTCATTTTTAGTGAGACTTTGCATACAGTCTTTAGTGACATGCCTATATGTAAAAGCTAAGGAAACAATTGTTTTAAGATTACTAATAGCAGATGCATAATTGGCTGGAAAATCATGTTATTAATGGTTCACTGGTAAAGAGGAGGAAGTAAGAGCAGACATAGACTTCCTGTGGAACATAGGAATATATATTGCATTTATTACATTTATAAGCTACACTAAGCTAAGAAGCGCAGCAAGTATCTTAGAGGACAAGAATAGAAGAAAAATATCATCTTGACAAACTGATCTGGAAAAGACAGTGTGGAGATCAATATAAGACAGTTCTTACAGACTACTAAACATGACAGATCAAAGAGAGCATAGTGGAAGTGCAGTCAGCACTAGAATATGTCTGCCTGCAACTCCCAACTAGATGGGATTTAACTATAAGTTTTACAAAGGTACAGACTACCCCAAAACAAAGCTTTCCTTCTCCCTTCCCCCAAACTGCCTCCTGAAGCCACATAGCAGAACTGGAGTCCTCACCTTTCGAAAGAGACGCTGGCTGCCCCCACCTGCTGACGTTGGGTAGTAAATATACACATTATGGTCTTCAGCACTGACGGGCTTCTCTACGAACGGCTTTGGGAAAACAGCTCCATTTACCTCCACATGGTCTTCTCCTTCCACCAAGTTGCATTCTGAAGACAAAGCACAGCAACAGTATGTTTGACCAAAGGGCAAACAGCCCTACTGCAGAGCTAAGTCCCTACCAGTCATCAGCTTCTGTATTTTACCCTCTGATTAGTGTCCAATCAAATTGACAGACCTATGAATCAGATCTGCTCAAGCACATTATGAATGCAGGTCTCTGCAAAGTATCTTAAATGGCACAGAATGCAAAAATCGCTTTCAGTAGAGCCTGGCATTTACCTTCTGGTCTGTCAGGGTCACGATTGAGTACAGCATAGCGGGGCAAGTCTATCCCCTCTTCTTGAAGAATCCGATACACTTCCCGTCTGCAGAGGACAAAAACAGTCAGGATCAACATAAGAGTCTGGAAGATCCTCAGTACACATCAAAGGAAAGGCTTTGTTTTCACCGATGAAAAATAAAGTCAAACGAACGCAAGAAAGTATTGAGAGAGTGCAAACACTTGTCAGCACACATTCTCCAGACAAGACCTACAAGCTGCAGGACATGCCTCATCCCGACTCCATATGGGAGCATCACAGATTAGACCTCTGCCTGGCCTACACCGACATGCCTGTTTGCCAGCGCCTGCCCAGTTCACAGCAACATATCCAGCAAATGCCCACTACCCAGATGAGTCCCCCTACAATGGGGCTGTCACACCCTACCCTCCAATCAAGCCTTACTTTGACTTAATGTCAATGGGAATACGCATTTCTCTTATTTGAGAATGTACAGTGCCTACCAGTATCCACAGGAATGCTGCCCACAATCCAAAAGTATGTGCGAATTTTAGTGTCTGATATTAACACTACTCATCTGTAATCAAAGCACTCTGACCACATGAACTGAAGTACATGCTTCTAAGTTGGCATTTGATTTCTGACTGACTTAATTCATCAACTTAACTCGCAAAGAGCTGACTGAAAAACCTCTTGAATTACAAACACATTTTCTTCAAGGGAGGGATATATGCCCTCCTATATTCCCTCTTCAGAATGGCCTTGTTGCTCCCAATTTCTGCCCCAGAATGTCATCCCACTACTTGGTTCTCTACTTCAGAGACCAGTCTTTTTGTTTTAGTGACACCAGTCTCATCCTGTAATATCATGTCCTCTTCTAATTCATTCCACCTTTCCTTACAGTGCATATTCACTAGAAGATAAAATATACCATGTCTCAATGGTTTCACCTTGAAACCTATCTCCCTCATGCCAGGGGGAAACAACCTCTCAAATCCACCACCAAAGTGTCGTGTCCCCGCAGTCCCTTGCTTGCTTTCAGCCAGGGAGATGAAGCTTGCACAGCTTGCCGAGCAGGGGAATCAGCTGAAGAGGGAAGGGGCTTTACAGGATCCCAGATACCTACCTGTCCTGGATGTAGTACTGCATATCAAGGTCATTAATCAAAAACGGCCTGCACAACTTGGCATAAGCAACTGCTTTATCCAGTGGGAATCCTGAAATGCAGGGTAGCAGGGGTAGGGAGGGAAAAAAGAAAAAGATGAATGGAAACTCCCTTGTCCAGATCTCAGGCAGGATACAGCCTGTGTGCAGACTTTTACCTTTGGAGTGGAAGGAGATAAGGCAGTCGCAAGAGGGCCAGTTCTCCACTGGTTCATTCAGAATAACATCTTCCCCCATAATCACCACTGTGATGTACTCAAACTTGCACAGACGTTCCAGAATCTGCGTCATGGGCTTTGACTTGGACTTTTTGGTCATGGCACATATTCCAACCACAATCTGCCGTTCAGGCGGCTAAGGGAAGACATGAGGCAGTTTAGCAAAGCGTCAGGTACTTTACTGGATTCAAACTGTAACAACATAGAAATACAACACTTGGGAACAAAGCAGAGATTTTCTTCTAACCACATGCACTCCCAGGTCTTGCTAGATTCAAATCCATAGACACTTCCAGTTCCCACTACATTTCACTGGCAGATTTTGTAAAGAAACATCCCCAGACAACTGCTTGTTTTCAAGGTAATATATATCTCCACTTATTTCTGGGCACTAATGCTAGGTCAGAAAGAAAAAAGCAGCAGTGTCTCAAATCCTGTACTCTTGTTGGTCACACAGACCATTGATAGAATTAGGAAGGCTCCAAAAAGAGCCACATATGCTGTATAGCAAAAGACTCCAGGAACTTAATCTGTTTGTCTCATCTGAGGAAAAAAAAAAAAAAAGGAGAAAGTGACAGCTACAAGTAGAAGCAAATCAGTACCAAGGACGCACCAATCTACCAGACAAAGGTACAGCAAGATCTGGTGGGAGGAAGTTAAATAAGTACAGAAAAAAAGATATGCATTTAGAAAGCACTGCTAACTGTAGACGAGAAACTGGTTAGGGTCTGTGGTAGATTTTCAAAAATTGACTTTTTAAATTCCTACTGATGTTTTCAATAATTAATTTCAATAAGATTAATTCCAGCCCAAGGAAGACTAAACCCAGCGAGGTCATCTAAAGTGATAAACACGGTACTGCAGATGTACAAGACGCAGAGTGGTGGCTGCAGGCTGTAAACTGGGACTTCTGGAGTTTCTGCACCAACTCCCCAAAGCCAAGGGTTCAGATTCTACAGTAAAAAGAGTATCTAGGAAGACTAAGGCCTTCCAATTCCTTTGCCACATCTGATACATAGCTCTTTATCGAGCATCAAGATACACAACACTGCATATTTCTGAAGGGAGCCCATTCAGCTCCTAGGTCAGTAACACACCTGCAGTGGAGACGCAAGAGCACAGTGGCCATGTGAGTAAGAGCCGCGCTGCCACGTGGCCCAGCAATGCATGCAAGCAGGAGCAGGGCTGCTGCAAGCTGCATGTGCAGAACACGGCACACCACCAAAAAGCAGACAATTCCAAACAGAAAAGCGGCAGATTCCAGGCTTTGCTCCTTCTCCTAAGCTTGTCCTGCTCTCACTGCTTCTTAGCTGCCCTTCCTCAGTTCTCAGCTAGACTGATTGGCTCCAGCAGTCCTGGATAGTTTTCCAATCCGACATTTCTTTGAAAAGTAGTTGCTCTTTCTCTTACAAGTCACAATTTAAAGGGAAAGAACTGAGCATGACGGGAAAGGAAAAGAATTTAAAAAGCAGTGTCAACCAGCTAAAAAATGGAACAAATAGCAGCCACTCCAGTCACTGAAGCGTCAATACAATATCACTGGATTCTTCCTAAAGGTGGATTCCCATGGACTGTGGATATATTTCATCCTTGATGAACTTTCTATTTGGAATTCTGTATTGGAAGAGGCAGCACTGCAAGGTTTCCACATGGGGGAAAAGTAGCTCCTCGCACCCAGAGAGGAGGGAATGGGACTTGTAAACTGCCAAAGGCACCAAACAGAATTTCTCTGAGATGGACAGTTGATTTCCTCGGGAGCAAACTGTAGCACGTTCCACTTCACTCTGGAATAATTTGCTCAAGCCATTCCAAAAACAAACAAACAAAACTTCCCTCTACCCTAAACTTAAAACAATTAGCAACAGAAAGTCAAGAGTTTCTCAGCTCCACTGCAGCGCCCTGGCCTGCAGGTCTTGCAGCGACAAGTCCCAGCTATTCACTGTTTCCTTTGCTCTATCTTTAGAGACTGACTTCACCACCCTTAAAGAGGAGGTCAGCGCACACTGCCCATGACATTTGCCACCTGTGCTACAGGATACACCCGCACTGGCCCTCACAGGCTGCATCACCTACCAAACAATAAAGTCAGGAAAACAGCAGATCAAAGTTCAGCAAGGCCACAACATACTATCCTAAGCTGATTCCAGGACAGCTTAGCATGAGCCGTGGTCCACTCAGCCCGCCAAGAGGCAAGAGAACCTCAGTGAACAGAAGGACCTTAAAAACACGTGCCCTTAGAAAAGGCCATTTGGGGGATGACAAGAGTGACTTAATAAGGGCCAAAGGCAGATGGAAGCTGGGGGTAATTCTGTATCCTACTGCAGGTTGCAGAAAAGAGGAACTGTTTCCAACTTGTAGACACTTCTTTGTCCTATGCATAGTTCCCATAGTTTTCCTAAAAAATTCCCTAGTAAAACAGGAAGCTTCTTAAGAGATTTAGGCTTAAATTGCCAGGACAGAGTTGCCTGCTGTCGCACCTGGCAGCAGGACAATGCAGCACACCCCCATCACCCCACCAAGCACCATGCGGCCTGGTGCCGAGTCCCTTAGGTCCCAACTGCCTGTGGTCTCCACAGCAGCCACTCAAAATCAGCTCCGACTCAGGAATTCTGCACGCTTCAGCCCAGAACACAGGCCCTCCTTACCGATTCCTCCTCCTCTTCATCTTCAAAGAAATCAATTTCGTCTGTCTTCATGTTTGATCCAAGGAAGTCTGTCTCATCATCCCTGGAACCGACCACAAACCTGGGAGCAGAGTTTTCTCCCTCACTGGAGGTCGTCAAGGACGACATTGCAGCCTTGGTGACCAATCATCCCGCTCTGGAATCACAACACACAAAGGTGAGGAAGATCTGCTGACACAAGCGAGCCAGGCGCTGCCAGGACCAGGAGGAGGGCGGGATGGGCACGCCGGGCACCAATGTGGTGGGAGGAAGTAGGGACAGGCAGCCCTGCACCCAAGTGGGAAGCAAGGCGAGGGGAGGGAAGCCTTTAGGCAGAAGTGGGGCAGAAGAAACTCTTGAGGCAGCAGGGGGTACAAGACCGCTTTAGAAAGGCTGCCCCACTGCACAACTAACCCATTGGCAAGTGGGAAAGGGACAGTGTCACCTCTAGTGCTGAAATAATTTAAACCTTACAATGATGCATGCTCCAATCCGTTGTCTAAATTGCTGACCAGGACAGCGGATACACTTGTGGCCTCGCACACCCAAAGACTTCAGTTGTGACTCCAAAAGTTAGAATGAAGCTTAGGAGAACAAAGGTGAATTTCCAATCCCCAATTTTCATTCCCTTAGCTCAAGAAGACCTAAAATAACAGAAAGACTAATTTGAGAGGCATGTGAGTTTGGGGGAACAAAGAGAAGTGACAACTCTTAGATAAGGAAAGAAGAAATGGAGAAAGCAACAGCAATAGTTAGGACTACAGAGGGGTTGGGGTTTGCAAACTATTTCTTATTTACTGTGTGAGCATGAATTATTAAGATATAAACTATACTTTACATATACACACCAGGAAAGGAGTGCATCTTGCACTGCCACCTATGACTTTGCAAACACCTGATGTTATTAAGCACTTGCTAAGAGTGAACAAAGCCCATTATGCTGCTTCCTATGCTCTTAGAAGGTTTCCAGCGTTGCTCAGCCTGGCAGCTGCTGCATCTCCTGGTGTGGAGCAGGCGTCCCCTGCGGCCAGGGCACGCCTGTGCAAAGCTCCACCACCTCCCCACCATCTCTGCCAGCTCCTCAGAGCACAGGAGACGGCCCGAGCAGCACCTGCCCGCTGGCAGCACCGTTTCACAGGAGGAGAATCCCCTCACAGAGGACAGAAAGAGAGGTTGATTTAATCTACTTGAGCAGGGTGGGAAAAGCAAAAGAATCAAACACTCAGCAACCCAGCTGGCTGTGCAATCCCTCTGGAAATAAGTGTAAGACCAAAGCAGGTCTCCATGCAGAAGGCTGCGCCCGTTCTCGGGAAGGACAGGAGATTTAACGGGCTCGTGCCCAGGGAGAGCGGTGAAGCAGAGAGGCACCCAACACACAAACGGGCGCTACATCCCGCAGCAGGTAAGTTAACAGATCACAGCCCCAGGAGCCCGCAGCCGCGTGACGCAACCAGAGACCAACCTTGGCTCGTGCTGTAGCCAGGACGATCCTGCGGCTGCTCTGCTGGCTGGCTCGGAGATCTGCTGCACTCAGAGCCGGGCGCTCGTCCGAGGAGAGGAGCCGCTAACGCAGCAGGGACCAGAGCTGCCATTCACCACCAGTGCTCTCTGCGGGGCCAGGACGGTGCCGGGGACCGGGCCGCACCGGCAGTAGTCACTGTGCTCTGTATAACCCTGCCCTACAACACAAGGACAAGAGCAGGATTCCCAAGTTATTCGGGAGCCGTCTTGTTTGCCAGGCTCAGCTCGTGGGCACAGAGCGAGACCTCAGCAAGCCCTGCCTGCTTGCGGGTTGGCGATTTCCTGAACTAAACCGGGCAAGGAGAGGGGGGCTGTTCTCTCCGATCCTTTGCCCTCCCTCCTCTAAGAACCTTTGCCCTAAGAACTAAGAAAGCAACAGGTTCTCTACGCTCCTATTTCTAGCCACAAAGAAAGGCCCCTACTCTGCTCTGCAGCTGTTTCCACATACCATACAAAAAAGCTAGAGTTGAGCTGGAGCAGCACTGAGTTAACACTGCAGGCTGAACTCTCTGAAAGACTCGGGCATTAGCACAGTCCTGACACACACACAAAAGCAAAGAGAAGACAAACAAACGGAGACCACTCAGCTAAGGAAAGGTTAGGAAGGAAGGTTCCGAGTACGGAACCTTCAGGCTTCCTAATCCCACTGCACGTACACGAGGAAACATCCCAGCGCTTATGGCTACCGACGCTCCCACCGCGTGCAGAGGAAGTGGCAGGAGATCAGCTACACAGCCCCAGTGAAGGTCAAGGTAATTAACTAACGGCAATCATTAGCTGCTGACACAGCCTGAAACTGAGACAGAAGCTTTGCCCTGCATTAAGGACAAGAAATGAGGCGGTGAACAGGTTCCCCAGCAGGTCACTCTGGTGCTGCTCAGCTAAGGGTGTTCACACTATTCTATGGACCCCAGTCTGAAGTACCAAATGTCTGGAAGAGAAGGGAGCACGATCAAGTCTTTTGCTAACCTCTCACTACGAGGTGCTGACCAGTGAAAGCTCCTCCATGCTATTGATGGAGGCCCTATATCGGGTGCAGCCGCCCTTGCATGGGACACACAGCGCCGTGCAAAAGGGCAGCAAGGGTGAATCGGCTTACGGAGCCTCAGCCACTTCTGAGCCTCCTCAAGCACCTGCAGTATTTGTGAGTATGTGCGGGTGGTATTTAAAAAAACAGTAATGCTGGCAAGGTCTTATTGAACTCCATCTGCATCAGAAGAGACAAATCTCACGTGTGCATCATCAGGACATACCTTTGCCTAAACTCGTAATCCTGCTCTGTAAGGACTCTGTATTAAAGGTTAACCACACACTTCAATGCAAAAAGCAACAACAACAAAAAAAACTCTTCTCAAAAACTAAGTGGCATAAACTCTAAATTGTTTCAAAAAAAAAGTATTGCAGAGTTAATAATTAAAAGCTATTTGGACTTAGTGCATTAATACGAGTTTGCCATGCTCCACTTGCACAGTGCAATGAGTTCAAAACCAGGATACTGAAGGTGCAATTGCAGAAGAAAAGTCCTGCCTCCTGGAGAGGCCTTTTCTGTGACTCCAAGCCCCTCAGCAGCTCCAGACATGTCCAGGGCTCAAGCGGGGGGGCAGATTTAGTAAGAGCTCTCGGACTAGCGCTCCTCTCCTGAGCAAGCGCAGCATGGTTCATGCAGCAGGTGCAGCAGTGAGACCCGACTGGGTCTTTTTCATTTGCTAAATGTGAAATTTGAGCGGCAAGTTTTCCAAGATTGTTGCTCTTATTTAGTTAGTAATGAACTGAAGCATGAAAGAWTTTTCTCTTTTTTAAAATGGGAAATAACAGAAACAGGCTTAAGCAAGYACACCTTTAATTTTAGGAGGACCAATACGTTGGCTCACTCGGCTTTGCAAGCGCAGAAACTGCAGCCGTGGAAGCAGCAGCGCTCCAAAGCGGTCACCTCTAGTCGCCCTTCCAGAGGAACCCCGGTCAGTCCCCTGCCCCCTGCTTGCCCCGCTCCCTCACACACCGGGACGGAGCCGGCACCGGGAGCGCTCGCTCTGTGCGGCCAACACGGGCTGCGGCTCCCCCCGCTGGAGGCGGCGCGGCCGAGCCTGGCCAAGCCGGGGGGCCCCGCGAGGCGCCGGCGCGAGCAGCGGCTGCAGCCCCGGGCAGGCCGCGGCGGGACGGGCACCGGGCC